GTCTGTGTAGCTTCTATTCAGTGTGGTGCCATTTTTTCAAGATCTCTTTTCACATCCTTGATAGTACCCTTTGAAACACAAAAGTTTTTAATTTTCATGAAGTCTGATTTATCTATTCTTTTCTTTTGTTGCTCAGGGTTTTGGTGTTATATCTGAGAATTGTTTGTTAAATACAAGGCCGTGAAGATTTACTCCTGTTATCTTTGAAGAGTTTCATAGTTTTTGTTTTTATGTTTAGATGTTAATTTTTATATATGGTATAAAGTAGGGGTCCAACTTCATTCTTTTGCATGTGACCATTCACTTGTCTCAGTACCATTTATTGAAAAGACTATTCTTTTTCCATTGAATAGTTTTGGAACCCTTGTTGAAAATGAGTTGACTGTAGAGGTATGGGTTTATTTCTGGACCCTCAGTTCTATTCTGTTGATCAATTTGTTTATCCTCCTGCCAGTTGCACATTGTCTTGAGTACTGTTGCTTTGTAGTAAGTTTTGTAATCAGGAAGTGGGAGTCCTCCTACTTTGTTCTTCTTTTTCAGGATTGTTTTGGCTATTCTGGGTTGTTGGCAGGTAGATAGGACTTTTAGAATCAGCTTGTCAATTTGTACAAAGACGTCACCTGGGATTCTGTTAAAGATTGCATTGAGCCTGTAGATCAGTTGGGGGAGAATTGGCATCTCGATACTTAAGTCTTCTGACACATGAATATGGAATGGTTTTCCACTTGTTTAGATCTTTAATGTCTTTCAACAATGTTTTGTAGTTTTCAGAGGATATGTTTTGCACTTCTTTTGTTAAATTTAATTCTAGATATTTTACTCTTTTCTTGCCATCCTTCAGGTAGTATTTTGATGGGGAGTCATGGCAGTGCTTCTGCAAAGTCCTCTTACCAGATGAAGGGGTAGAGTGAACAGAGAGTTGGAAAAACATCTCCAAGTGTTGGCAGAAGAGAAAGAAGAGCAGGGTACTGTCTACCATCCTTAGGAGGTTGTGTTCTCAGGTCTCTCATGATCCTGTGACAGGGCACTGAGAGATGCATCAGCCTGCCAAGAACTCCATACACCCAAGTTATCAATGTTTTCCCCTCTTTCCCATTATAATAAAAACTCCGAGTGGTGGTGGGCTTGGGGGAGGGAAGTAAGTACTTAAAGATAGATAGCTCTATGTTAATAAGAATACAATTTGATTGGAGTAATTCACATTAATATTTAAGTTAGTAATACCCCTCTCCTAACTTCTGAGATAAAAGAGGAATATGAATAGCCCAGATGAAGCACTAATTGGGAGAACCTTGGTAGCATAAAAAAGGAAGTAGACCATTTGGGAAGAGTAGGAAATATTTTTAGATTTGATCTAGGAGGTTAGGGTTGTTTTGAGGAGAGAGAGTGTCACAACACAAATTAGGAAGTCCTGGCTGCTCTAGTGGCTAGCTCCTCTCTACTATATCTGCTTTTTATGGCTCATTTCCTTCAATTCTGTTATGTTACCTCCCCCGTAAGACCCCCCTAGCTCTCCTTAGTGTGTGTATGAATGGAGGTGGTGGTCAGGTTCAACACACACATGCCTGTGTATCTAGAATGTCTATAAGTCTAAGGTAGCACTTTTTCTAAATGCCACCAAAATAGTTGTGAGGTTGAAATTCTATAGCATATATACTTTTTGTTCCTGGATTTTAAACCCTAAATTTGGTCTAGCAATCATATTTATGACCATAAATCAAACTCATTGTCGAGATTATGTTGTGGAGATTACATTGTAGAGATAATGTTGTAGAGATTAGCAAATTTTATTGTTTTATGTGCTATGAACTAGTATTTTTTTACACTACTTATCCTCTTTATTTATTATTATTTATATATATATATTTTCCTTTATTGATTTTAGAGAGAGAGGATGGGAGAGGGAGAGAGAGATAGAAACATCAATGAGAGAGAATATTGATCAGCCACCTCCTGCATGTCCCCCACTGGGGATTGGGCCCAATCTGGGCATGTGCCCTGACCGGGAATCGAACTGGTGACCTCTTGGTGCATGGGTCAACGCTAATCATTGAGCCACACTGGACGGGGGTAACTATGGATTTTTAATCAAACCAGTTTCATTCTGTTTAGGATGTCCTTGTGGCTACTTAAATCTCATTTCACGATTAGCGGGTTTGTTGGGTTAATCAGCCTTTGAAATGGTGTGGTAGGAAAACCCAAAACTATCCTACTTAACATCCCTCTGTTATTTTCATTTTAAAGAATGATATAAACCATACTTGTTATTCCTTATTTCACCACTGGAAAAATATGTAATCCTTTCTCACTCACCCACACAGAGTCTGCTAACTCTCGGTCGGTAGGTTGCTTCTCAGAGAAGAGACTGCCTGTGGTATACAGCTCAAGTGTAGCATTACCAGGGTGTTTCCTATTGATCCGAGAAAGGGCTTCGATATGGTGTGGAACCGAAGGCACAATATTCGTTGCTCCATAGGTAGGGTCTGCAAATTACTGCCTCCTGTTTTTGTAGATACAATTTTGCTGGAACACAGCGTGTTCATTTGGTTGCTTCTCGTCTGTGGGTGTTTTCTCACTAAAAACTGCAGACTTGAGTAGTTTCAACAGAGACGGTGTGACCTGCCAAGCCTCAAATATTTGCCACCTGGCCCCTTATGGAAAAACATTGCAGACCCCTGCTCTACAGAATTTTAACTTTGTTTCTCAGCATTTTATAATTTGTAGAAGAAATATTCCAAGGTAGAGATAGAGGCAGTTTTCCCTGAAGTTTCTGGTTTGGGCAAAGCGCACTCTCTCAAGAAGGTGACAGGGTTGTGAAGACATACACTGAGTTTCTCAGATGAGTTTCTGTAGCTGCCCTGTGTCCTGGTGCGGGGGCAGCTCTCATACCTGTCTTCTGTGGTGACCCAACTCCAACCTGAACAACAGGTTTGAGAAATACTCCCTGTTGTTTGGAATAGTGTGAGATCTGATAATTCTTGGAGGAAGGTAAGTGGGAAGGAGAATGGACTGCAGTGGGTGACCATCCAGGTGTGCATGGTTCCCCAGTGGTGGTGGGAAATAAAATGCTCTAGGGACAGCCTTTTGGTGGTCACCTGGAGGCAGATTTCCATTCTTATTGGTCTCAAAGTCTTCAGTGAGGCAAGAATTTTCCCAGACGTATGGGCTGGGCTGGAAAAATTGGAAATTAAAACAAACCTAAAATTTTACAACCCACCAGTAGGGCATAGTTTTGTCAGAGAGCGATTTCTGTCTAGCAGTTTGGTTTGCTAAATTACAAACAATTGACCTTTCATCTGAATCCATAACCATGTTTATCATTTAACTCCCTCTCCCCATCAGTAGTTGCCCAAGCCCTTTGGAGAGAATTAAGACCCAGGCTCTGAACTATTGGTTCACTTCACACAGTCATGCAGGCAGCTGTGGACAATGGAAAGAACAGGGTTGGAAAGCAGACCGGCTTTTGTTGAAACTGGACTTGAGTTCTCTTGTGTGCGTGTGGCCTCGGGCAACTTAATCCCTCTGCTTCTGTTTTCTTAAGCGTGGAAAGTGAGGACACTCATGTCTCCCTCATAGGATTGTTGTGAAGTTTAGTTACACAAGGAAACACAGATAGGCTCTGCTGGAGAAATTCAATCAGTTGGAGAGACAGAATATACAAATGTTATGATGCAAGCGAGGTTTATGTCAACAGGACTGCACAGCACGCCGTGTGATGAGGGCAAAGAGCCAGGCAGGAGAGGGGAAGTGATTTCTGAGCAGAATCACGGGAGAGGAGTGGGAGTTTGCAGGGGATCCGGAAGGAGTGAAGGCATTAGAAGACCCACCTGGGCAGAGGTGTAGCTGCGTAGGGCAGCGTGGTGTGTGTAGGGACCACAGCCAGATCCTGAGATGGATGCAACTTTCACCTGATACAGGAATCCTTTCAATGACCTCAACTCCTGAGCAGCTCCCCGCTCCATCCTCTGTGCATGCCATCGCCTGTCCCTCTTCTTTTCCTAAACATTGACATTGCCCTGTTCTCCCTTCTCCACGGGGCCTCCTGCCCACTGCAGCTGAATGGAGCTTCCTTCCCCGGGAGTCCACCCGCTGCTCACGGTGTGCCGCGCTTGCCTCCTGAGGGAGCTGCTCTCCTCTCTGCCGTGGGCTGTCCCTCCCTGAGAGCATGTGGGGCTGAGGCCCGAGCTGGTGTTCTCATATTCCTCATAGTGCCAAGGGCATTAGTAGAGACTCAGGAAATGTTTGTGGATGATGATAATTATCTGGAAAATGGGGTCTGACGTAGTATGATCAAAATAAAGGCAAATAGTGACCAGGTAGCCATGGCCACCTTTTGGTTGTAAGAATATATATCGTGCATATAGTCGGGATTTAATATTTTTTGGAGGTGAGGCAGGAAGCAGATGTTAATTCCAATGACCTTTTGTAATAAATGGGGGTTTAAAGAACAACAGACACATCCAGGACATGCAGAGCCTGGAGTAGGACTTGATAGGCTGACTCACTGACTGGAAGGTCAGATTCAAGGTCCTGACCTTCGTCCCTCTTGGGGCCACACCGTCTGTTATCTGAACACTGGGGTAGTTTAAATGGCACAGGAATGACCTGTCCTTGAAAGGTTGGGTCACTGGCTAAACCGTCAGGGCTGTTCTCAGAGGTGGATCTCTCTGGACATCTTTCCCTTCTCTCCATCTCGCTGATGACTAGCATCCCCGCCACCCCTCAGGGCCCCTCTGTTCCCCCACATCTCCAGCCTCCTCTGAGTCCCAAGGCTGCCACTGTAGCCCGACTCTTTCCGGCCTTCCAGTCTGAGGGCGTCATCACCCAGCTGCCTTGGACTGGCCGTGGTCCCAAGCTCCCCAGCACCAGTGTGGACCGATGTGGTCAGCAGTGGTTCGGGGGGAGCAGAGGTTCCCCTTCCTGAGCCTGCGGCTGGGCAGCCAGGAGAAGCTGACCTGCTCCAGTTCTGAGTCACTGAGTGCTGGTGTCTTGTTTTTCAGATTGATCGTGTCCTGTGCCGAAGATGCTGCCAGAACAACAGAAAGAGGTATGTCATCCCCACCCCCACAGTCAGTAGTCCGTGCGTCCGGCTCCCTGCAGCTTAGTTCTGCACGCACTGCCCGTGCGTGTGGTGGAGAGCACGCTGCGGCAGGGCTTCCTAGAGGAGGGCGTGTGAGCAGGCAGAGCGCCTGCCTGTCCCCAGCACTGCTGCCACCTCGGCCCTCATTCTCAGTTCCAGTGGCTGAGCGGTTTCTCAGCTCACCCCCCGCCCCACCGGGTATAAAAGCATCTTTTTCCATGACTCAGAACTCTCCCAGATCTGCCTCCCACCTTGCTGTGGAACAGTTTCCCCACAGCCTGCTTTCTTGGTTTCCTCCTCTGTGGCCTCATCCCTGACTTCCCCGACCTCTGGTAACAACCCAGGGCAACTGCCTGCCGTCACTGCCAGTGTTGTCCTGCTTGCTGCCTCTTGGATCTCTTGTCACTTAAGCAGGGGAGACTGTCCCTTCCCAAACGCAGCCTGACCTCTCAGGCCTCCAATCCCAGCTTCCTGAGCTTCATCTGACTGGGAGGAGGGCAGGACCACTGCCACACCCCTTCGCTGAGTGCCGACCCTCAGAAGTACCCTTCGGCCTGCCTGCCTCCTATTGTGCCACACACATTGTCACTAGGTCAGCCTCATAAAGCTGAACAGCCCCACGCCAGCCTTTTAGGAGTGTGCACACACAGACACACACATGCATACACAGACACACACAGACACAGCACACACACAGATGCACGCAGACATACACATGCACACATAGGCACACACACAGACACATATACACACACAGACACACAGAGACAGTCACATGCACACAGATGAAGACATACATGTACGTAGACATACATGCACACACACACAGACACACACAGACAGACGCATGCAGACATACACATGCACACACAGGCACAAACACAGACACATATATACACAGAGACAGTCACATGCACACACATGCAGAGATACATGTTTGTAGACATACATGCACACACACACACAGACACACACACACAGTCACACAACCACATGGTCCTTAGTGCACCTTGTTAAAATTGAAAACACTAAACAATCCATTTCAGGGACTCCTTCCACAAACTTCTTTGCTGGATCTCACATCAGCCCTGCCTTTGGATTGAGGTTCTCCTCAGTAGTCCGGCCCACTTCACCCTTTAACTCCAGGATGGGTTTCCCCATCTTCAAAGGCAGTGTTTTGGTTTTAACTTTTTAGAATTGGGTACAGCATGTGTGCAATAAAATGCAGAAAGTGCCCTGATCCTATGGGTACAGCTAAGTGGGTTTTTTCTTACGTTTACACCTGTGTGACCACCACCTGGATCAAGGTGTAGATGTTTTTAGCACCCCAGAAGATACCTTGTGTCCCTTTCTTGTCAGTTCCCCTGTCGTATCCCACCCCCTAGAAGTAACCCCATACAGTACCAAGAGCAGGTACGTGTTCCCCCTGTCCCTCTGCAACAATACTGGGACCAAGCCGCTGGCTTCGGGAAATACCTTCCTCTAAAGGTGGCCAAACTGCAAGTCCCCACATGACTGTCCTCACTTCTGACACCAATGATAAGTTCCAGGGTTCCCCAAACACCCTCAGTTTTGATGATTCACAAGAAAAACTCACAAACTTGCTGAGAGACTAGACTCCCAGTTTCGGTTGTGTTTTCACAGGGAAGGGTACCAGTTAGAACCAACGGAAGAGACACACAGGGCAAAGCTGGGGTGGGGGCCCCACGCAGAGCTTCTGCCTGTCCTCTCCTCATGGAGTCCCCTTCCTGGTGTCCGTGTGTGACAATGTGCACAAGGAGCTCACCAAGCCTCGGTGTCCAGAGTTTTCATTGGGGCTCAGTGTTTACTGTGTGGTTGACCTGTAGTCTCCACTCCTCCTGGGGTCGAGTTCATACCTTTAGTCTCCAGTTCCGTTAGAGGTCACAGCTGATACGGCGTGACCCTGAGCCCCCATCGTATTCATGTTGTCATACCGGTCAGTGGCCAAAGCCCGTACAAAGATGGTCCTTTCAGGCAGGACATTGCAGGGCCCGGAGGGCACCTCCCAGGAGCTGAGGGCGGAGGCCAGCCCTCCCTCTGGGTGAGGTGAATTCTCCAATACCCACCTGCATGGCCTGATCCCGGGGCGGGCTGTGCCCATCGCCAGTGCTGTTCCAAAGGCACATTGTAAACGTTCTCTGGAGGGGAAACTACCAATGAAAGCCACAAAGACTTTTTTCCAATTAGAAGAAGCTTCTTTTTTTTCTTTTTGCTGGGTTGGTTTAATCACTTGATTTTTATTATGAACTCATTTCAGTGACTAGAAGAAATGAGACACAAATTTTAACCAATTACATAAAGAAAGCATTTTATTGACCTTGCTAAAGTCCTTTATTATAAATAATTATGTAATAATGTTGTTTTTTTTTTTTTTTTTTTTATCCTCACCCGAGGACATTTTTTCATTTTTTGTTCAGGTAGAGTGGGAGGGAGAGGACCAGAGAGAGAGAGAGAGAAACATCGATGTGAAAGGAACACATCGAGTGGCTGCCACCCGCACGACCGACCAGGGCCGGGGACAAACTGCAACCAAGGTACGTGCCCTTAGCGGGAACCGAACCCGGGTCTCTCAGGACCGCAGGCCGACGCTCTAACCGCTGAGCCAAACCGGCCAGGGCAATAATTATGTAATAATGTTAAAACATTAAGGAATTTTAAACTGGAGAGTCCTTCAGCTGAAAAGGAAAAAATACTGTAGGGAGAAAGGTATAATACTCAGAAGTTTGCTTTAGCCCCTCAGCAAGAAATACCCCACAAGGCTAGATCCTAGATACAGAGAATATCCTGTTCATCATGTCAGTCCGTTTTCTACATTTGGCCAGAATGGTCTGGCTGCTGATGTGTTGCTCTTAGAACGAAGTTAAAACTGCTACATGAGGTTTCTAAGGCCTCTTATGATATGACCCTTCTTCCTTCTCCAGGCTCACCTGCCCCTCCCCCACCCCAGTGCTCGGCTCACTCCTCATTTTGAAGCTTTCGCTCTGCACTCTGGGCCCTGGGCTTTCGCAGATGTTTTCCCACTGCCGGGAACAGTCTCCCTTCCCCCAGACTTCACACCAGGTTGTCTGACTAAGCTTAGCAATCAAGAAGAGGCGTTTCTAAAGCCGCAATTATAAAAGGCATTTTTATCTTACCGCCTACCCAAACACCTCCCTGTCCTTCTTGCCAGTTAGAAGTGGAGGTTTTGGCTGAGCCTTTAAATACCCCAGTGGCTGGTGGTGGTTCAGTTGGATGTAATTCAGGTCCCACCTAATTGCATGTGGAAGGCCTGGATGCAACATCAGTGATTGCTCTGGAATCTGGACCAAGGGGCCAGAGTGTGTAAGCTCACGGCGCCCACGGCAGACAGTACTAATTCATCATGAGGCTGGCACGTGAATGGAGAGGTATTTACCATCCTTGTTCAAGATTCAACAGCCCGGGAGTGACATCTCTGTTCTACCTAACTGGTAGTGCCAGCCTAGAAGTTTGGCAGTTTTTTATCTTTTAAAGATTTGGGGGGGAGACCCAAATGTAGTCTCTCTTGTTAAAATAGCTTTATTACTGTAATAAATCTAGAGAGAGGAGAACAGGGAGTACCGGTCTCCCTTGTTAGTTAAACATGTTCCATTTGCACATGGGTTTGAATTCCCAGGAGGGCCGTATCTGGGCTGATGGATCATCCCCATAAAAATGGCCTTGGCTTTGGGCCATTGTAAAATTAAAATGAATTCAGATTCATTCATGCATGCAGCTTTAATTTACAATTAAAATATTATGGTTACATATTTTAATAAGAATAATTAGATGGACCCAACTGAATCAACCCTTCTGTTTAATGAGACAGAACCCAGAATCCTAATGAAAGGGAAGGTGGCTGTGGCAGGGAACACGTCTCAGAGAGAGTCTTTTGTGGAGTCAGGCATTTCTGTTCTTTGTATATTCTAATGTCCAGAACAAGCAGTTTGATTTTTCCGATTAGGAAAGACCCTCGCTTCAGCCATGTTGAGCTCATCCTCTGCAATGTGTGTGAATACGCAGCTTCCCCCTGCTGCACTGTTTCATGGAGTCTGACATTCCGGCCCCTCCAAGGCAGGGGGTTCATTCCTCTGCCCAGGGCTCACTTAGTGTAAATGGGATGGTTCTGCTCTGCCCAGTGTGGCTCAGTAGGTTGGGCGTACCTGTGCACCAAGAAGTTGCAGGCTGGATTCCCAGTCAGGGCACATGTCCAAGTTGCAGGCTGGATCGCCAGGGGGCAGGGCGGGGGGGCGGGGCATGGGTGTGCAGGAGGCAGCTGATCAATGTTTCTCTATCACATCGATGTTTCTCTTTCTCTCTCCCTCCTTTTTCTCTACCAATCAATAGAACTACTTAAAAAAATGGGACAGTTCTCCCTATGTGATGTGACTGGAAGGGTGTGTGTATCTCCTCTGCTCTCCTGGAACATGATGACTGAATTCTACCGTTAGAGACCCATATCTTTAGGCTAAGGGTTTGTTTTTTTTTCTCCTTCAAAATGTACGTACTTCATAGTGAATGCAATGGCAACTACTGGTTATTGACACCTTAGTGGCAATAAATCCATCACCTCTGGGGCAGTGGACACCCCGAGGGGAGCAGACCCAGTGAGTGGAGAGCTCCAGGCAGCAGGAGGCCTTGCCACAGGGGAGGCGGCAGGGCCCCACAGGGACAGATGGGAGGGAGGCGCTTCTGTTTGGGATGTGTTAACTCTAAGCTTGACATAACAGTCAAGGTATGTGATGCTGACTGATGGTCACGTTTGAGGCTTGCTCCAGGAAAGGTGGTTTCGATACTGGGAAACTGACTAGAAACTGACTGGGCTGCACCCAATGACTATCATTAAAGAATGTCCCACAAGCAGGGCTTCCACCTGGTGTCCTGCGAGGCTGAGGGCTTTGAAGGGAAGTGACAAGACGAGGCCAAGCACCCTCCCATCCCCGAAACTA